TGAGGAACTTTTACAACTTTCTGGTTTTCTGCCCATGAATCTCTGATTGTTAAGAAATCATAAAGGATTGTCAAAACTTATGCAAGGCTTTGTATCAAAAACTGAGTTAAAACTAATACTTAAACCAAACTTCCCAGATTACCGTTTAATGGCATATAACAACTTCAGAATGTTCTCTTTCCCTCTCTAGCAATATATTTATTGCCATGTACTGAGACAAGCACTGACACCAGGTACAGTAAATGCGACAATTCCACTACAGCTGCTGAGCATACACCTGCAAAGGAAACTGTCTTAAGAGAAATGTCTGATAAAGTGTACATTTATGCAATCATCCAGAAAGTGAAGAAGTCCATCATCATATTTTTCAACATTATGAAATGTTTGTTTCTCTTTTCTTTCTCATAAAAGGAAATAGCCCAGAGAAGAACTGACAGAGGAGAATCTCTAGAATGTATGTCTGTCTTACACTCCTTCCAGTGAGTACTCTCTCCCAAGGTGGTAGTGTCTTATCTCATGCAGCTGTTGTTATTTTCATACAATGTTTGAGTCTTCAGATGGATCTGCTATTAAAAAACTACCATGTACTTGCAGAGATTGGAGCAGTGGTGAAGTCAATAGTTTCTCTCACATTAAAAGTGAAAGGAGAAAATGAAGTAAAGATCTCCAAAGGGTCTCCTTACCAATAGCTTCTCCATGCAGTATGGAGCAATAGGAGCAAAACTTGAGCATCCTGCCACCATGGTCTCAGTATCTGACACAGGCTTGGTCCAGTACATTAGGGCAATAACGAAGATGCATTTATGGTGTATAAAATTGCCATACCTCTGTTTAGTTCTTTGCTGCATAGAAAAAGTAGTATGGTAAACCTAATTTGCAATGGTGTAACTAGAGTCGTAGCACAGCGGTACTATTAAGATTACATAAGCAGCAGAAAATAACTAAATTACACCCACTACTCTTATAGCTGCTGGTAAAGGCCTATGTTTAGGTAAACTTCACAAGGTTACTGAAGCTAGATTAGATGCCTATGAAAAAAAGAGTAAACAAAGAACCTCAAGAAATGAAGGTAGCTGGAAATGAAAGCTATGATGAAAGTGTACTTGTTAAATGACTCTCACATGTCAGAAAGTAAATTCTGCCCAACCCTGAAGTGCTACCAGAGTGCATGGCCATACCAGGGATTTCAATTCTCAAATAGAAGCCGTGAAGCTGGCTGTCACACCTGAGTATGAAAGATAACATCAATATGCCTATGATAGCAACTTGAAGATACAGACAGGATCAAACTGCTCCATGCAAACACAAATGACACAGAAAGGACTGTGTATCTTATAGACTAGAAGTAAAAATTTCACTTCCAATGTGCTCAGAAGTCAAGGTTCCTCCTGGCTTTCAGAAAATACTTTGTATGACCAGTATGTTATTTCTGACACATCTTGAAAAACAGAGTAGCAAACCCCAAAATATATGAAGAAATACAGAACTGGCATGGAGCACTCAGTTTCAAGCCAGCTCTGAGATCAAAGGGCCAAATTTTACAGCTTTTAGGAGAATCCGTGGGAAGCAGAAAGTGGAGCTGCATCTGCTGCACAATCTGAATTAACTGTCTTGAATGATTCTTCTTCCCTGGGAAAAAAATAAATGAGGAAAGGCTAAAATAGGGCAGTGAATTACACAGGAATTTATTTCAAGATGTGGCATTTTCTCTGCCTTCAGAGATTTCCTCTGAACTTTGAACATTGTCACCTCCTTCAGATTACTCTCTTCATAGTATCAGAGCAGCCCACATCTTTCAGATTTATACAGTTATTAAAATATAATGAGAGTTAAACTAGATCATTTATTCTACTGGTTGAACAGAACAAACCCCTCCCTCTGTGCTGTTGGGCTTTTTGAAGTGGGAGTGAAAATCACACGCAAAAAAACCCCAACCTCTGACAATTAAAGCTGTTAGTTTAATAACATATAAAAATTGCCCTTTTGAGGTGTAACTTTTGTATCTGCCATTCTCAAACTAGAAAAACATTAACTGCATCTGAAGATCACGATGGATAGGATGTAACAGAGAGCAAATAAATGCTGCAAGAAAAATGAAATAAGGAACCTCGATGTATTTCTTCAATGGCAATACATCAGAACTAAAAAAGAGGCTGTGACAGCTTTTCAGTGCTCTGGAGGTTTTGTACATTCGTTCATCACCACTGTACCTGCTCCATTATATTTTGTTCAAGGTTTATTTGCATATATCAAAAATGGAAATGGGGCAAGCATGTATCACTCTTCTTCTTCACTTAGATGTTGGGTATGTGTTTGGATCCAGAAGTTTCATATGATGATTTAGCATTTAGAGGTATCCTCAGTTACTGTTACAGGCTGTACCATATCTGTGAAATAAAGGTGCACAATCATAATAACAAGGTTCATTACAGCCCTTGACATCTTCTGTCGCCCTGATTTTGTAAGACTTTGTTAAGCCTTCTGATGTTTACATACTTTCAACAAACTTTCTCACACACAGTTCTGTAAATAACCTATGTTTTGCATTCTTTCATGGAGGTGGAGAGAATTGATAGACCCTTGGTCTGTCCAGTGGCATTGGAGAGGTGGCACTGTCACCCTCCAATCCACTGTCACCTTTGGAAAACTATAAATGTTGGAGTCAGAAAATAAAGCTTCTTCTTTTTGTTCCCCTCGAGAGCAGCAGTGTCTGTGTCATCATTTCGTGCCTTATCACAACAATCTTCAATGTACTTTTGAAGATGAACAGTAAACTGGTAATCCAAAGAGAGAGAATTCTTCCTGCTGTGGTTTAAACACTGAATGTGTTTGTCAGAAATGCATGGGAATTATATCCTAAGCAGCAGCTATTTCTTTTTGACACAATTTATATGGAATAAACTACTTTTTATGATGCAGAGGAAGAATTTTTCTATTTAAAGCATATACTTTTGTCTTCAGCTATTGATCCATTACTAATGGGACTCAATGTCACCCACAAAATCAGTATTTTATGGTAAACTGGAGTGCATTAAAATGTTATTTTACTAAAATGTCTTCAGTGTACTATAGATCTTCCACTTCCCATTTTCCAGAAAATTTAAATGAAACCTTTTATCTCAGTAAGTTACACATTGCTAGCCACAAAGTGCTGAAGCATGCTTTTGTGTATCTGCATTTCATTTCTATTTGGCAGAAAGTAAAATGATTTTGTCAACAATCTATCAGTAGCCTATGTTCATCCACTTCTCACTATAGAGCAGAAGCAGCTCTGGCACAGCGAAGGTTGTAGCAAATGTGCTATATACTGGAAAATGCTTTCCATTGATACCTTGATTTTATATAAATTATGCATGTGCAGTACTTGAATATATATGATTGCATAAAACTGAATGCAAATGACTTATCTTGAGCAGGAGCCCACTGGGAGCATTGGCATTTGAAACATGAGACCACCTCTGGTGCCCCCTCCTGAACTGCCTTCCCTACAGTTTTCCTGGGCCAGCCTTGTCCATGCAGGTGGCAATCATGTGACAGCAAGATTCAGTAGGTTTAGGTCTAAATCACAAATCTGTCATTACCCTTTGTATTCCTGCAGAGCAGACTTCCCCATCAGTTAATATTCAGATGAGTTTATGCTTCACAACTGACAGTTCTGAATTAAATTAGTATGATCTGCCTGTTTCATAGCTGTAACTAGCAGAGACAGCTCATCTTTGTTCTGACAGCTTTCACAGAACATCTTATGCTGAAAATATTGCCTAGATGAGGAATTAAGGTAAGAAAGTTGCCTTCTTAGGTTTCTCTGTACTCAGCAGAGATACAACTCTCACTCAAAAGCTCTTCATACAGCAGTATCTGAAACTTTGCACGCTGAACTTGTTTCCCCTTAACCATATTGATAGAAACAATAAATCATGAGAATACTGCATAAAAATTTTACAGAGAATAGCTACTTGTATGTTAGTAAAGATAGTAGGAATCCTTTGGCCAAAAACCATCAAGCATGTTGTGATTTGAACCAAGATTTCAAGAGTTAATATTAGTTTTTCTTTCAAGGTAACTGCAATACACACTTCACAATTGTTGCAGGTGTGAAATGTTGTACATAGTGTGCTAAGAGTTTAAAAATAACAGTAAACCAAAGTAAGTGAAGTAACTTTTAATTCCCTTTTTAAATGTGCATTTGAATTTAATACAATCTGTAAGGCACTCTCCTAAGTAAAAAAAAAAAAAAAAATTAAACATTCTTTTCCAAATAAGGACAGTTACAAGGCAATGGTATGCACATAAAATATAAACTTATCTGTAACTGATAAACAATGAAACACAAATGTTCAGGTTTTGGATGCATTGCAAGGTAATGTCATTTCTGTATCATGACACTACTCAGTAAATATTGGCACTGTAAATGATTTCTCATTGGGGTTAGGAACTTGTATTCTCTTCATATCCCAGTAAAAAATAAACTCTTTAATAAATAAATATATAAAATAAATATATGCTATCTGGAGATGTATAAATAGGTCCATCCTGAAAAAAAGTTCCAGTTTTGACTACTATGTATTGACATCTAATGTCCATCACTAAAGTGGAGCCTGTAAAACTTCACACACAGTTCTCAGGATTTAACACTATTTTATAGTCCATTTCTTTCTATTTCTTCCAGCATTGTCTCATCCATATGATGTAGATGGCTAATCTACAGGCCACAGGTAATCCAGACAGAATTGCCAGGAGTTGGTTATGTTTTAAGAAGTCCCACTTCCCCCTGGTGACTGGCTATCAAACCATTCAGCAAGTGTTGAGGAGGCTGGTCCACACTCATCTTCAAGGCTTTGTCTCCTAAATCCAGTGGTTAGAAAACAGAGGCTTGCCTTTCACCAAGTGGGTTCTTCACATCCAGCATCCTAGACCGCTGCAGGTTCCTCATGCTGGCATGGCCAGGAAAGCATGCGCAACAGCTCCAGTTTGCGTATTTGCCAAAGCTGCCTCTTGGCTCAGCTGTATCCTAACACATCTTTGTACAGTTCTGGAACTCTTTCAGGATCCACAGGCCGGGGCAAGAAATGTGTGAATTTCTGATGTCTTTTGGACCTTGCCCCATCTCTGGGAGTACCGTCTTTATTAAGTGCTACAAAGTACCTCCGCCCTGAATCCCCATGTTTGTAGACATTGGATGAGTAAGTGTTGTACCAGTTTTCCTCAAATTGTTCCCTGAAGATGCACTCAGAAGTTAGTTTCTCCTACAGAAAGAAAGAGAAAGGAAAAATAAGTTAAGCTGCCATTAGATATTAGAAGACATGAAAAAAGATATTATAAAAATAAATAAAATGCTTTAGGCTTTGTGTAGCTTTACTGTTCATTTAAATGTCAACAAACCAAACCCAAGAAGAGTATGTACACCTGACAATGAGTTTGGAAACTTGGACCTGTACACCTAAAATTTTGTATTTCAAAAATTAACTAATTAACATTTACTGTTAGAAAACATTACTTATTTATAATTTATTTTAAATTAATCTTGGAATAAATTGTATTATGTAGAGTTCTGTCTTGGGCTACTTCTATTCTAGAAACGAGATTTGGTAGAGGGACTCAAATGCAACATAACAGAGCAGGAAGTATTTACATATTTCTTTGTGGTATGCATCACTTCTCACATTTTAAACTGGAATGACCACAACCAAAGGAAGTGGAGAAGCAGAATATTTTATCTGAAGATGTTTTGAAAACAAGAAAGAAGAGTAGGACTGGTATTACTCTCATAGCTTTGTAAAAATCAATTCTATTTTGTTGAAATATCCACGGCTACACTGTGTACTTCAAAAATACATTACACATTTCAACAGGAAAAGATGTTAGCGTTTTGAAAGCTGAGATTAGCTTATTGAGGGCGTTGCATTATGTTAGAAAGCAAACCAAAAACCTAAAGATGTATGAGCTGATATGAAAGTGGTACTTACAGAGCCATAGAGTTCTCCCTTCTCATTCATTCCAAGGTAAAGCCCACTGTCCACGCCTCTAATACTGACCAGTCCCACTGCCACACTGATGAATTCAAGGATACCTGGAAAAAAAAAATCGCTTTAATTAATTTTGTAACCATAAAACGCATAGCATCCAAAAACTCAGTTGAAAACAAGCAGAAAATGCATGTATTATAGTAAATGTGGCCTAGTTTCTCTGAAATTTCAAATACTATGTGAAAATGTACACAACATTCACAGGAAAGCAGTCTGAGAAGCCTCAGCTAGGAACATGAATACTTCACCATTTAAGAAGCTTATTCAAAACACTGAATATGAAAGGATTTTATTCAGCACTGAGACTAAAGCCATTACTACCATGCTGTTGGAGTCTTTAATGATTGTACACTATTTGCTAAACTGCCTACTCAAATATTGGAAGATCGGTTTGAATTACCTGAAAATATACTTTACTACTTCTACAGAGTTATCTTAAAAAAACACATCCATTATTAGGTCATTTGAATGGAAATCAAAGTACAGATGGGAATTTTATATAACAGAATCTACCCACAGAAAAAAGAAAAGTATTTGCCAGACATCTTATCTAACATATGGGCCCACACCTCTTGACACAACTTGCTGTCTTTAGTGCAGGCTTTTAAAGTACATAAAACATGCTGCTTTTTTTTTTTTTTTTTTTTTTTTTGCTACTGTTTGGATTATAACATTATTTATATTACATTTGCCCAAAAATGTAATATATATTAATAAAGTATTTGAGACATGAGGTACTATTTGAAGCCTGAATTTGGCAAAGGTAAGCCAACACACTTAACCAATTGATATGCACAGATTACAGCACATCCAAAACATGAAAGAAAAGGAACGTGTGAACTGGCTTTTTGGAAGTTGTTAACAACATAAACAAAGCCTCAAAAAGAAGTGCCAGAGTCATATCTAAGATATTGCTGTTCAGCAGCAAAACCACAAAACATTTTAAAAAATCCCTGAATCTAAGGAAAGTAGTTTTAAATAGTGCAGCTGATTATGACTTTTTGTCTGCTTACTATTTATGATTTCAGGACAATTTTCAGTCTCAGACAGATGGACTATCTGGACTATCCAGTAATTTAAATTTTTTTTTCAATTTTAATTGAGCTTTGGCAACTTTCTTAGTTGTATTAACAAACAGCAAAGAAAATAAATCCTTTACAAAGAGTAAGCATTAAAAACTGTATCACACATAAATCATCCTAGTTTTCCAGTTCATAAAGCGCAGAGTCCCATAAAAGGTTTGGAGGCATTTTGTCTTTCTGATATCATTTTCAAAGCCACTCTTTTCCGAAAGCATAATAAGCAGGTGATACAACCCACAAAGAAACCACATCAGACAAACCTGCCAAGAGTAGTGGTAGAATAAAGGTAGTACAATTCTAAAAAGCCCGGTAAATGTTAGATATATGGCTAACTTGATTTTCCCTTTAAAGCAAACATTTATTTCATGTTTACATGCTGTAGGAAATCTTCCTTCTGAGAAGAACTGTCTGTTTGACTACTGCTCTTCTACTTCTTAAAACATCCATGTGTTATAAAAGCAATTAAGAGCCATTCCAGCAGATTGTTTTGACTATGAGGAGGATGATAGGAAACTCTTTAATCACCTTTTTACGACTGCTAAACTAATACACACCAAAACTCACATGTAGTTGACAACAGTAGGTTTGTTCAGATGTCCAGCCTCTACAACTACTATTTAAGATTTACTCTCCTATCACAGGCTGTCTTCACCTCCTTTGGGTTTATTGACACAGAAAGCTGGCTGGGGAGCATTTTAAGCACTTAATCAAATAATTTTAGGCTCTTCTGCTTCAGCTTTATGTCCTTCTGTGAAGCAAAGCAGTCTAGTGCAGCCTAAGGATCAGCACGCGCAAGTCTGCGACCTATACTGTTTTACAGAGGCCAAAGAAGCTCCAATACTAATAGTGAATACAAAAACGATCAGTCTGACTCCCCACCATTCCCGCTAAACTTAGTGGCGTATGCCTGTGCTTATGGACCCCCAGCACAGGCTGAGCAGTGCCTGTCTCCTGACTCACCTGGGATGCACAGCCCTCCCTCACTACCCTGCCCTGGCGCAGACACCTTGGCCAAACGCCGGAGGGTGAAGCCTTTCTGTTCTGAGGACTAATCCACCTGCCTCGGCATCACCAGCATCACATCTCCCCCCCGAGAGCACGACTGCTCCCGCCCAGGTGCACACAGAGGCGCTCACGCACACACCCACACACGCACACGCGGGGCCGCGCCGCAGCCGCCTACCGAAGAGGCTGTGGTCCTGGCGGGTGCCACGCACGCTGCCGTCGGGCAGGATCTGCAGGTGGAAGCCGGTGCGGCAGTACAGCTGCCGCCGCCGCAGGATGCCCTGCAAGTGCGCCAGGTCCGCCGCCGCTGCCGCAGCCGGGGCGCGGCGCTCCCCCCGCTCCGCCGGGGCGCGGCGGTCCCCGAGCAGCGCCGGGCGCTCCCCGGCGGGCGGCAGCAAGAAGTGGGCACCCACCGGCTGCCCCAGGCCGTCCAGGCCGCCCAGGAAGCCGCCCACCTCGGCCAGCGGAGCCATGCGGGCGCGGGGCGAGCGGGCTAGGGCGCGGCGGCGGCGGAGAGCGGCTGCCGGCCTGTCCCGGTGGGCATGTGGGGGTGCGCGGCGGAGCCCCAAGCATGGGGAGCCGGCAGGGCCGAGCGGAGCGGAACGGAGCCGAGCCGTGCTGATCCGAGGCGGTGCGAGCCGGGCGGCGGGGTGCTGCTCATCAGCCCCGCGCGTGTGTATATATATACGGCGGTCCCCTGACATATGCTAATGAAGCCGCTGCGGGGAGGCCGCGTTTGAAATTGTAAACCGGCTCCCCCTCCGCTCGCACCTTCCTCTGATCTGCGGTGACGGCGGGGAGGGGGCTCCGGGCGCGCCCCCGCGTGCTGCCGGGCGCGCACACGCGCGGCGGGGGCGGGGGCGCGGGCGCGGCCCCTGCGCGGAGCGGGCAGCGGGGGACGGGCGGGAGCTGCCGGAGCATTACGTGGACAGGTGCAAGGAGAGGCAGGAGGGAAGAAGGAGAAAGGGCGTTACCTGAGGGTTAGACCTGCCCAGACACACATGAAAGAAAAAACCCGAAGATCTGACAGTTTTACTCCCTGTTTCTAAAACGCTAATAAAATGTACATGCATTATGCTTCCCTTTTATCGCTTCAACTACAAGGAGGGGAATTTCTAAAGAAATTGGCATAGTCAGGGAGGTGCTTTCCCCTCTGCAAATTCTCCCTCGCATTTATCATTACTGTGACACTAAACTGATCTATAGTATTTGGGTATTGACAGGAGGTCTTAAAAACATAAATGGGCAGCCCCATCGTTTGGGATAAATATTTTCAAAACTTTTGCAGAGAAGAAGAAAGATTGTGACCCTAACCCATCTTCATTGGGGTTTTTCATTGGGCCCTTAGCCAAGGTCTGTGAGCATAATAAATTAGCAATATTATCCACTGAAAGATCCCTGCTGTAGTTCTACAACATTTTGAATCCATTTGGGACTTTGTTGTCCTGTTCCAGAGAAACATATGCACTTTTTTCATGTGTAGAATGGTTCACATGGGAAAATATATTTTGGTGGAAAACATATTCACCAATGGTAAAACAATGCTACATTAAATCTAAGAGTTTTACTTTTGCCATCTTTCCTGCCTTTTCTGTAAAGTCTAATGAATTTTAGGGCTTAAATGACATGACCTATCTCAGCATCTAAGATATGCAGTTCTTTGCCAATCTTAAAACATGGTATTAGAGTATAAAATGTAAAGATCTTTCATAGTTAATTCTTTCAAAAGTTCAAGAGAATCACTTGGTGGTTTAAGGTTTCATTTAAACAAAAAAGTTGCAGAGAATCATGAGAGATTAGTTCTCCTGTCTTGCTTCATGGTCTTTTCAGTCACAGTCTAAATCTGAGAGATCAAATGGATTTGACTGCTTACCTTTATTTGCTATGGAGAGTATAGGGCTAATTAATTGGCAGGTGCTTTAAAGCAGGTAATGCGACACCTTTTCATCACTGCAGTCCTAAGTACTGCCCCTGTGTGCACCTGAATTATAAAAAGGCTGCTTTAAAGCAAATGATTTACTGTGGAGGGATTTAAAACTGAAAAAATTAATGCTAAATACAATGATCAGATAAATCACCTCAGAGGAGAGCACAGGCAGACCTGTTCTGAAGGCAGTTACAGATAGATGTTATATTATTTTACCTTTCAGATAACAGGAGCCTGTCATGTGGTGGGACCGAAAAATCCACCATAATCGAGATTTCAAAGCACATCTGTGTAAACATTATCACATCAGTGTAAAACATCAACCAATGAGCTTTCTCTTTGAAGCAAATCTACTTAATTGTAGTGCTAAATCAAAGAAATAGATCAAAGTTGAATAATCTATATGGCACCTATTTCTCAAATAGCCTGTTCACTGATTACTCAAATACACCAAAAACGTTTGAAACAAACATCAAGTATTTTTATTGACATGATTGGCAGGTCAAGATCAAACTGCTCATCACAGCTGTTAAGTTGCAGGACATGCAGCAGGATGGTAGGAGGTATATTGTTCTAAGCCTAAAGATGCTCCCATACAGATACTGTTCCTGGGTTCAAGCAGTACCCTTGACTCCTACAAACAGTAGAGGGGTCTACGGTTCAGATAACGTTCACTGTCTCCCATAGAGAGGGGTTGGGGTTATTTAGAACAAAAAAAAGTCCTCAGCAATCACATACTGAAAGACCCTTATGGCTAAATCTTTCCTGTTATATAATGGGAACATTTAAAGTAGAGCGGAATACATAACACTGATCTTTTCTGAGTGGAGTCTTTAATGTCTGGGAACTAAACCGGTTATGCTGTTTTATAAAGTACCAGAAAAGAAACAAAAAGATAAGATTTTTGTGTGTGTGTGTTTGCACTAGCCATGTGACAGGAAAAGATAACGCTAAAGATTTTTTTTTTGCACCTTCTGAAACTATACCATGGGAAGTTAAATAATTTTGAAGAGTTTTTCTACAAGAGTACATAATTCAACTTAAAGTATACAGTACAATCTAATCGACTCTACGTATACTTCCTAGAGACGGCACTCTCGGTGTCATTGAACAAATACATATGTGGTCAAGTTTTTATTTCCATAGCAAGTAGTTAGGACTTCTACAGACAATACAATTACTGTATATTTCCTAAGAATAGCATGTTGTCATAAGCAGAACCTAGTGGCTACCAAAGGAGTGGAGAATGTAATGACTAAAATTTTTCATAGATAGTCTGTACATATATGGAGAGACAGATCAATCTACATATCTATAAAACTCCTGTTAGCTATAAAACTTTAGGTCCTACAATTTATTGCACCTTTGTTAATTTTAGAACTCCCTCACAACAGTCCTGTGCCAGCCATAAATTTTTAATGATATAATAAAATATTGGAAAGGGAGGGTTCATGAATACATAAGAAAGCAAACGTTTGGTGGAACAAAAACCATGGAGAAGCACACAAAGAGATATGTCCAGCTGGAGATACCTATGTATCATGGCCAGTTTCAGATTCTTCTCAGATTTGGACACAAAAATATGGTTCTCTGCTTTCAGGAAGGTGAGCAGAACACGCACAATTTACCATGAGTGCCTTTCTAAGCACCGCAAGTCTGAGTGAAAAAGGTGTGTTCTTGCGCAGAATTCAATAGGAAGAAAAGAACAGAACATTTCCAAGGTTCCATGTACAAACTAGGCCATAATCTGATGACCTTTAAAATGCAATACATGCAGATTTTAAAAACATTGAAAACTTTCTCTTCTGATCAGATACAGTAGCAGGTATGTATACATACATGTATATTTACATTTAACTATTTAAAAAACTCAGATGAGGAAAAAGCAACAATGAAATTTTTTTTCCTATGGGAAGGAAGTTCTCACACCTTCATGCTTTATTTCTTTAATTGAAGACAAAAATTCATAGAGCTTTTTAAGATTCATGATCTTACTGTCTATGTTTTTGTGGACACACATGAATAACCCCTATATATGCAGAATGCAACAGAGAAGCTATTGCAATGAGCACACATTTACCTGGCCACATCCAGTGAGAATAGACTGTTTCCATGTATCAATATTCAAATGCCTCAAATTCGGCAGCTTTTTTATTAGTCCTGTAAGTGAATCATTGGATTAAAACAACCTTAATTTATTTAAATGACATGCTTTCTGAATCTCGGCATGCAAGATGTTCAGACAGTGTATGTTTTTAGACTTGCTGCACAAATAAATTTTGCTCTTGTTCCTAAGCAAACACTTCACCAGGGAAGTTCTGCCTAAAATTACCTGGGTGTAAGTAGTTGCAGATGTGAATTGGATTTTTGAAGTGAAAGAAATTTTAGCCTAAAGGTGTTATTGAAAAGTCAGTAAAATGTGGCTAACTAAATTTAGGGAAACAGTGTGAACAGGGAGATAACTCATGGTTCATGACTACAGTTCAGGTGACTGATGAGCTCTTGACAGGTTTACTTTGGGACACCACACTGACCAAAAGTGGTTCCTCTTCCAGTCAAACCAAAAAGGTAGACTATTTGAAAAAGGTAATTTTATCGGTGAATGGTGTCTCCTAATGAGGCAGCTAGAACTGATAAGATCCAAGAGCCACATTCTACAAAATTTTCCAGACTGGATGCTTGGTCATTTACTTGCAAGTACTCGTGTTTCAGTCATGCTAAGCATCAGAAATTATTATTGCCTTGACTCCTAAATGCTGGTCTCTATATTGGCCTTTAGTAATTTAGTACAGAGATTTAGTACAAGTCTTTAATTCAGACTTGCGGACAAGGATTTTGCCTGGCAGTCATACATATAAAGTATTTATAAAATAAAGGAGTAGATTATTTAAAAAAAAAAAACAAAAAAAAAAAAAAAAAAAAAAAAAACAAAAAACCAACCAAAAATAGTTTTTGACAGTTGGGAATAATGAAGTCAAGGGAATTACTTGATTAATGAATTGGCTTACAGTATTCTAAAATTTTGAAAGAAATGCAGGAAATCCATCACTCAGCCCAGATACCTGCCTTTCCAACCATAGCTCTGAGGTAACTCAACCTTGGCCATGCTTACAGTTGTGTGATCTGACAGACTGTCAGTTGACAAACATGGCCACACTGACTCCTTGACATAACCACTGAATGTAACTGAAAATGCATGAGAGTGTCTTAAAAGGTATCAAAATATCATTTGTATATTTTCCAAAATCTTGCTCATAATAATATAAAAAGTCATTAGAGATTGGGCAACGGGGAAGGGGGGAAAGGATAAGTGGCTGAAACTTGGGGAAAATGTACTTATGTAAAAAAGACTGAGACTGTACCATTGCAAAAAAAAAGGAAAAAAAAAAAAAGCCATAAGGTGTGCTGTGTCTTGAAATGTTTGTGCGCAGTTCATAAAGTTTCAAGGCCGTGATGCAGGTTGTACCATGGAAGAATGCCCTAACATGAAAAGACTGACAAGATTTTTTGCCCATCAGTATCAAGCAGGGACAAAAGACCATGCTCAGCTTTCACAACGGGTCTTTAACGAGTTCTTGATTATGCAAAGGAAGCTAGCTGTCGCCAAGAATATGT